TGTATCCAGGTATGGATTTAGCTTTATTTATCATGTTCAGGAAATTTTGTGTTCCTGAATCAGGAGATTCATGCATTTCAGCAAGTCTAGAATATTCTCAACCATTACAGCTTCAAATACTGCCTTTTTCCTACTCTAGTCTCTTCCTCTGGCATTTCTATTAGATACATCTATTGCACTGAATTTAAGAGGAATACCATCAACTGTGAGATGTGCTCTCATTTTATGTAGCACATGAAAGAAAAAAACGCCAAACTTTTAAAAATATTTGTATCATATATTACTCCTGCTCATACATTAATATAGACATAATAAATATGAATATACACAAATATAAAAATAGGAATAAAGCCCTGGTTGGTGTGGCTTAGTTGGTTGACGTGTCGTCCCATAAACCAAAAGGTCACCAGCTTGATTCCCTGGTTAGGGCACATGCCTGGGTTGCAGGTTTGGTGTCTAGTTACAGGGCATATGAAAAGTAACCATGTTGCCCTCTCACATCAATGTTTCCCTCTTTCTCCCTCCCTTCCCCTCTCTCTAAAATCAATAAGCATGTCCTTGGGTGAGGATAAAAAAAAAAGTAAGAATAGAGACAGTCTATATTTAAAAATATATACATGAAAACAAAATTAACTAATGAAGGCATTCCTAGTATTTCTCTACACTTAATTTTCCACTCAGTTGCTGATACTGTTTTTCTGTGTCATTTCATTTTCTCTTGTCAAGGATTCTGATAATGCAGCATTCTCAGTGGTACTCTATTGTGTGTCTATTGTTTCAAGGCTCTGTCACCCATTTATAATTGTTTTTTATGTTAAAAAATTCAATTTATTTAAATTAAAAACATAAAAAACAAAGAACAATACACACCAATTTCCACCCTTAACTCTCTTCCCCATTGCCTCTGGCAACTATAAATCGGTTCTCTCGAATCCATGACCTTGATTTTTTTGTGTGTTTGGTCCCACATATAAGAGAGATCATACAGTGTTTGTCTTTCTGTGTCTGACTTATTCACTTAGCATAACACCCCTGAGGTCCATCCATGTTGTCACAAAAAAGGTGACAACATGGAAGCTAATTTTGTTTTATAAATGTACACCTTTTTATCTTTTGACTTTTAGGAACGTGTCACTTCCACAACAGCAAAAATAAAGTGCACACTTAAAGCAGTTCTCTTCAGGCTACAAAGAGCCTGGAAAAAGGTGACAACTCTTTTTATTTATTTTAAAGATTTTATTTATTTTTAGAGAGAGGAGACGGGAGGGAGAAAGAGAGGGAAGAGAGAAACATTGGTATGCAAGAGATACATGGATCGGTTGCCTGTTGCATGTTCCCAACGGGGAACCTGGCCCGCAACCCGGGCATGTGCCCTGATTGGAAATCAAACTGGCGACCTTTCGGTTCTCAGGCCGGCACTCAATCCACTGAGTGACCCCAGCCAGGGCTGTCACTCATTTTTATGGCTGACTACTATTACACTGTACATATATACTGTATCTTCTTTATCCAGTCATCCATTAATGGACATTCAGTGTGTTTCTTTATCTTAGCTGTTGTAAATAATGCTGCAGTGAAAAGAGGGGTACATATATCATTTTGAATTAATGTTTTTGTTTTCTTTGGGTAAATACCCGGAAGTAGAATTGCTGAATCATTTGGTAGTTCTACTTTTAATTTTTTTCAGGAAATTCCTTATTGTTTCTCATAGTGGCTGCACCAATTTACATTCTCACCAGCAGTGCACAAGGGTTCCCTTTTCTCCATGCCCTCATCGACACTCATTACTTGTCTTTTTTATAATAGCCATTCTAACAGGTGTGAGGTCGCATTAAGGCTTTGATTTGTATTTCGTTGCTGAATAATGACGTTTAGCATCCGTTCGTGTGCCTATTAGCCAACTGTATTCCTTTGGAAAATGTCTATTCTGACCTTATGTCCGTTTTTAATTGGATTTTTTTTTTTTTCGGCTATTGAATCGTATGAGTTCTCTACACCAGGGTTCCCCAACCCATGGGCCACAGACCGGTACCGGTCCTGGCACGTTAGTAACCGAGGGCGAGGGAAGCTCGTCTGACCTCCGCCTCCTGTCTCCGCCCCCTTCCCCGCTCGGTCCACAGCAAGGGGTGAACAAGTGAAGCTCCGCCCTTCCCCGCTCGGTCCACAGCAAGGGGTGTACAAGTGAAGCTCCGCCTTAGCTCTGCCTCCAGACCCCTGCCCACCCCCCGCCCCCACTCCAGAAAAAACCTGTCCTGGTTCCAAAAAGGTTGGGAACCGCTGCTTTACACAATATATATGTTGGATAGTAGTCCTTTATCAGGTACATGATTTGTATTCTTTTCTCCCATTTATTATGTTACCTTTTCATTTTGTTGATGGTTTCCCATTTGTAAATTTTGATAATAACACTTTCTAGCTTTATGTATGGTCAGTTATCCTTTTGCATACATCTTAATATCAAACATAATTGCTTCATCTACTTGTATTTTCCTTTTTTAGAACTTACAGAATCTCTGTTCCTTTGCAAAATGTGGAATGTGTTCATTGCTCCAGTAAGGAACATTTGCTTCACTAATAACAAATGTGTACTCCACTGCTGTTTTTGTACTTTTTACTTACTTAATAACATTTAGGTTTAATGGCAAGCCAAAGTGTAATGGATTTAAAGGCATTTAAAATGGCAGTTAAACTTCCATGTAGTTGAAATGGGGACATATGAATGGCTATGACCTATAGTCAAGAAGACCTCTCCAAGGAAGTAGCATTTTACTGGAGATGCCGGTTTGGAGAGCGAAAGAAAGAGTATTCTGGGCTGAAAAGAATGGCATGATTAAGAAGGACAAGATGCTTAAAAGGTGTTGAGATAGTAGTTAGTTTTAGAATTCAAAGTTTTTTCAGGGGAAGGTGTTTCCCTGTTTTACTGAGATGTAACTTACATATAATAGAACTCAGACTGATGTATCTGGAACACACCAAATAATGAGCAGAGTAGTGCAAAGTGAGGTTGCAAAGGGAGGCAGGGGTGATGTTTTATAGCACTTTGGAAGCCCTCTATAAATGCAAGGGAAAGTTATCAAAAGAAGTCTTTGCTCTGGCCCTGACTGGTTGGTTAGAGTGTCATCCCATATGCCAAAGTTATGGGTTCGATTCCTGGTCAGGACAAATACAAGAATCAATGAATCAATACATGCATAGCAATCATATTGTGCATTCTGAAACTCTGATCTACATGCACTGGCTCTCCAATCTCCTTTGTTTTAGGCTGGGTATGAAAGGACTGATGTGAGGCTTACTCAGATGTGACCTTGCACAATTGTGTACCTGAAAGTGAGGATGACTTTGTGGTGCTCTCTGTGTCCATGTCCTTCTAGGTCTTTTTGTTTTTGTTTTTTAAATCCTCACCCTGGGATTTAAAAAAATATATATATACACACACATATATATATATATATATACACACACACATATATATATACACACACACACAGAGTGATATATATATATCGAGTCTCCAGCATGAACGAGCTATATATAGTGGTAAAAAAGAAAAGAAGGGAAGGAGGGAGGAGGTGAGAGAGAGAAAGAGACAGATATTGATTGGTTGCCTCCAGTATGCACCCCAACTGGGGATCATACCTGCAACCTAGGTATGTGTGCTGACCAGGAATTGAAGTCGCAGAGTTCTGGTGCTCTACAAGTGGACAATGCTCCAACCAATTGAGCCACTTGACCAGGGCCTTTTCAAAAAGTTATTATTGGTAGAATTTCATTTATTGATTTTAGAGAGAGAAGAAAGGAGAGAGAGAAAAGTCAATTTGTTGTTCTACTCTTTGTGCATTCATTGATTGATTCTTCTATGTGCCCTACTGGGTATTGAACCCACAACCTTGGCATATCAGGATGCTGCTCTAACCAATTGTGTTACCTGGATCTATCTAGCCAGAGCTAGGTTCTTTAGACAATAAACCTTGTTTAATTTACCCAACAGGTGTCTAGTGTTTAGATCAAGAAGTGCCCACTGAACAGTTGAAATGGTGACCAGTCCTCAACAGATTGAAAGTTTTAAAATTAGCATCAGCAAGGTATTTACTTTTACAAATAACATTAAAACAAAGACAAAACACAAAAGCAAAGCTTTCTGTAAATAAATTTTGGCCTGAAGAGAGTGGTCTATCTCAAAAAAAAAAAACAAAACAAAACGCAAGTATTTGTGCAATTTTGTTAACACGAAACAAAGCATACCCTGAGTTCAGTGTTCTCTACACCTATTTTACGCTCACTGTGAAACACTGTTACAGGAACTTGGAAATACACTCTTATAGAAATCAAGAAGATATAATGCCCTTCTCAGAATTCTCTCCATTTTCCCCAAAACCCACAGTTCAGATAAAATTGCTTATACGAAACTGCAACTCGTGTGTGTGTGCAAGTTTCTTTCCTTGTTAAATTACAGTACGCTTAAGGGAAGGGACCTCATTTCATAAATGTTTTATATCACGAGACAGCGAATGAGAACCGCCGAAGGCGATGTTTGGGAAACATAGGTTAGTGTGGTCTTCGGTAAGAAACAGATGTGTTCTAATTCTTAGTGGGCACTTTCTAGCTATGAGAACTTGGTGAACTCATTTCCTTTAGGAGAAAATGTCAATCCACTCAACAAGTACTTAGCCCGTGTCAGGTACAAAGTCCTAGCGTGTCAGCGCGGGCCATCCGCGGTATGGTCGGAGCTTTCATTGGCTATCCTTCAGAAACGCACGCCTTTTCCCGCCCCCTCACTTTGCGGCCGACGCTAGCCTACCTACTCTGCCCCGCCCCCGCTGCCCCGTCTCCCTGGCGGATTCGCGCCATTGGTGGGTCGCTCGTGGTGGCTTTGCGCGTGCGCGCTCGCTCCCAGGCCCTGCCGAGAGGGGGAGCGAGCGGGCCGGAGCTGGAGGCCCACGGTGCTCCGCCCCGGTGAAAGGGCGGTGGTGGCGCTGGGCGGGGCCAAGTTTCAGGGCTGGCGGCGGGGCTGCGCTGGGGCCTGCGAGCTGCTGCGGGGCTGTGCGCTGCTCAAGCTGGGCGGGGCCGTCCGAGCGGAGTCCGTGCGCGCCCGCGCTGAGCTGCCTGCTTCGGCGGCTCCGCTGCTCGTCCGCGGCGACGTCGCCCGCGAGTCTCCAGCATGAACGAGCTAAGGCTTAGGGCGGTCCGCGAGCCGGACGCACCGCCCGAGGACAAGGTAGCGGTGGCCTGCGGGTGGGCGCAGACAGGGCAGCGGCGCCTCCCGGAGGTCCGCGTGGGGCACGCGCGATGGGATCGTCTAGCTCTTTGACCCTTTGTGGCAGCCGACCGCGGCCCCGGGCCTGGGCATCGCGAGGGTCCTTGGTTGCGGGACCTCCGCGGAGCGCGTGTCAGGGGTCAACAAGTCGGGGTGCTGGGGGACGAAGCTCTGGGGTCCGATTGGGGGTGGTATCTCGGCGGCGCAGGAAGGAGCGCGCGGGGGTGCGCACCGCTGCTTGCCTCGCAGGGCTGGTTAGGGGTCACCCTTCAGTCCCCCACCTCCCGAGGCCTTCCTAGGTGTGAAGACGTCGATACCCCGCAGGGTCTTCTCGGACGGGCAACTGGACTCCTCTGTGCCCGACTTAGGCTTTCCGCACCCCTCTACATTTTTTGGCGGGGTGCATCAAGACAAGGCCTTGGGATTTGTCTTGTAGGAGATTTAAATCCCTTCTTGAAAGTGAAATCCGTTGGCATTAAGCAGAGCGATCTCTTGACTCACGTAGTCAGCAGGTGTTGGAAAGGATACTCCAAATAAATGGGCTTGTTTTCTCCTCCAAGTGTGGGCATTGATGGGGTAGAGGAGGTAAAAAAAGAGGCCATCTTGGCGGGGATGCAGCTGGGTGGGGGGGGTCAGTGATGGGGGGTAGACTCTTTTCGTTGAAGGGAAGGGTTTGTGTAGGGGAGTTGAGGAAGGTGAAGGGAGCGTGGTTGTGATACTGTGGATGTTGAATGACAGCATAAGGGTTCGGACTTCATGGTACTATTTCGAGCCTGGAGTTAGTGTTTAGGAGCACTGTAGTCGGTAAATTGTTCTGGAGTGGTATGTAGAATGGACTGAGGGAGCCTGGACCAGAGTGAAAGAATCTGATTAACCGGGGGATTGGTAACTGGTGACCTGCAGATGTTTTCTTTGGTCCACATGTTGCTTTAAAAACAAGATTTCTCCTAACAGTGTGAATTTCTTGCTTATATTGTATAGTTGGAAGATCTGCCATCATGTTCCCACCTTATTTACATTTGGCTGGAGCTGAGAGGAACAGCTGTTCCCATCAATCCCTGTTGCCATATTCCAGGCCTACAGCACCCACCTATGTTGCTTGCAGGTTTTGATAACTGGAGGAAAGCAATATTAGGGAAACATCAGGAAGGAGGGAAGTCCAAGATTTGGTGAAGGGGTGTAAACAGAGCAATTATATCAGGGGGGATGTTTTAGGTGAAAGAATGTTTTGGGTTTTAAACAACTCTTTGTTGTTGATTTTGACAGTGGATCATCCAAGGAGAATTCTTCATACTGATTTTTAGAATATATTTTGGAGAAAATTTAGGGCTTCTGTGCAAGTTTAGGAGTTGCTTGCAAAGACAAGTGATCTAGCAATTTCTGATCTTCCTATTAAATACCCTGGTTGGGCCTGGAAGAACTCTGTCCCCTTCCTGTTGGTGAGTATTCAGATGTTTGAAGTGTACAGAGCCCCGTTTAAGGGTCAGACTTGTTAATGGGACTCTATGAGAAGAGGGAGAAAAAAGAAGGTATGAGAGCTAATGTGCTGTATTTTTAAAAAGCTAATTAATCGTAATAATTAGACATATTTACTGGTAAAAACAGAACAAAACCATACACACAGAATACCCCCACTAGATTACAAAGTGAAACAAAGTTTTTATCCTCCCCATCCAAAACTCCTTGGACTCATCTCCCAGAGAAAAAGTTATGGCCTGTGTCACCCCAATAAATTCAATAAAGTAAAAAAGCAAAAACAAACCCTTCCCCAAACCCCACAAAGATCTCTTTAAAAAAAGAGAGAGAGAGAGAGAGAGAGAGAGAGAGAGAGAAGAGAAGAAAAGAGAAAAGAAAAAGTGCCAAATGATTCCTAAATACTTTCTCATCCCATATTTTAGGTAGGACATGAGGAGCTGTCCAGCTAAAGGTGCCTTAATTTTTTACAACTGCACTTAAACCACTTACACAATGACAGAATGCTTGGGGGTTGTGAGGTCCACTAAGTGCATGCTACTTCCTGAAACACAGCAGCTACTGTATTCTGTTAAAAGCCTGATATAGTCCATTAGTTCTGAACAAGCCCCTCATCCCATCACTGTATTTCTGATTTATCATGCATGAGATTTAAGAATGGTGAAATGCTTTATTTGCCTTTGGTGAATGTATATTGTAGAGTTTTAAAAAAATACTGATTTATTTTATAGGTTGAAAAACCTACTTTCATGATTTTAGCTTTGCCAATGTTCTAGTTAGAACCTGAGAAAATTAGAAATAACTAAAAAAGAATATCTTTTTAGGGAAATAAATTGTGAAATGGAAATTTGCTTATTTTATGGAAGAATTCAGAAAACAGTATCAGGTCAATTTATTAAAAGAACTGAAACAAATTTGAAAGATTCTTTAAAATGTTACAGTTGCTTAACTGCTGTGGCAAAATTGTCTTGTAAATAAGCAGACAATCATTAGTTTCAAAATAATCTGGAGAATGTGTTTATTATAAAAGTCAGAAAGTATTTTGTTATATTTAGCATCATAGAATGGAATTTTCATAGCCAGTTAGTTGCTAATAAAGGAAATGTTTTCCTCTGGGAACCAAGCTTATAATTTTAAAGTCGCGAAGCACAGTATTATTGCCAAACTAAGGAACTTGGAGTTTAAACTTCAGGAATGATCCTCTTCCTTCCCAACCATGTTTTACAGCGTAATTTAGGAATGGAGATGAAGCATGGGTCAAAAGATTAGCATCTTAAAATTTATGATTGGGTTGGCATTTCAGGGTACTTTGTTTTAGAGGGTAGCGTGAAGGTTCAGAGTTTTCTGCTGTACTTAGATGCTGGAGAGCTATTTAAATTAGAGCTTTACTCCTTTCAAGGCCTCCCTTCTAGATTGAGGAAACCAGTATCAGGAGGGAATAGTGACATTATTTACAAAGGGGAGCTTAAACTTTAAAGACAGTGGTTTAAAGCAGGAACTTAAGAATCAGGTCCATCTTGAGCCTGGGTTCTGCATCTGAAGAGCTGTATAACTTTGAGCTAATCACTAAACTTGGATAAATCCTTAGTTTTTCCATCTAAAGTGGGGCGATAAAACAGCATGTGCATCAGAGAATATTTGTGTGGATTAAATGAGTATGGATGTTACATAGATTGGGCATGAATAGTCACATTGTAATCATGTTAGCTGTTTCTGGTTGAAACATAGTTTTATAGGAAAAAAACTTTAATATTTACCTTCTGCTCTTGGAAGATGATTAAATCTTTAAGTTATAAATGTTTGGAGTAGTCTTTTCCTATTCATCACCTTTTAAGGAAAGTATTATGGACAGAGCTTGGCCTTCTGTGACCTATCTTTTCAGTTCATTTTCTAGCTGAGTTTTTCAGTGCTCAGAATCACAGTCAAGCTTAAGCTGTAGAAGGAACATCGCTGTATTCAATTATCTTCCCTCCATAGCATTAGCTATAATATATTGTTAGCACAGTGGTGAATAATTAGAAATGGCTTTCTGATATACTTTTAAGAGTGAACTACTAAAATAAAATCTTTTTTTAAGAGCTATAGCTACTTCAGATATAGGAGAAATGCTTTGTTTCTCTCAAAAATATTTTTTCTTCATTGACAAATACTTTGGTATTGAAAAATCAGTGAATCTTAACTATGGTTCTCAGACTTAAACATAGGGAGAAGCAGTGAAAGATTGATTTGTCATATAACCCACCATTTTAAGTTTCATTGGAAGGGAGTGAGGGAGGGGGGCAGAGAGAGAAAAGAAAGAAACATCGATTTATTGTTCTACTTATTTATGCATTCATTGGTTGATTCTTATATGTGCCCGAACCAGGGATTGAACCTGCAACCTTGGCATATCAGGTTAGTTTACTAACCCAACTGAACTACTCAGCCAGGGCTTAAGCTTCTTAATTTATGTTGATCAAACAGTGTAATTTTATTTTAAAGACTCAGTGACTCTCCAATTAATGAATAGTTAAAATTAGTCTTTTAAAAAAGCTAATTTTGTTTAAAATGTTTTGTGTTTGCACAAATTTGCGATTTTTTTCTTAGAAAAATTTATGCCTTTCAAAAATATTAAATTGCACTAATTAGATGTTAAAATTAGAAGGGATCCTAGAGGTCATTATTTTATAAAAATGGATACCATAGTCCAAAGAGTTTACTTACCCAATATCACACAGTTGGTTAGATGCAGAATGGTTAATAGTATGAAGCTTTTCATGCTTTTTCTTGTTTCTTTCCTAATTATGTTGCGTAATGCTGCTTTCAAGGGTACAGAATTAGTCTACAGACTTTTAAAGCTTTTGCATTGATTGATAGGAAAAAATGTAAAAATAGCACCTTTTTTTAATGTGGCTACAAAAATTAAAAAATAGCAAAAAAGATCTTTAAAATGTCAAGTATATAAAAATAAATTCCCATATACTGAATGTGGAGATTCTGAGAAACCTTTTTTTTTTCCCCCCCTGTAGAAACAGTTGATTAGGTTCAGTTTTCCGGGATATTGGATGCCTGGTGATTATATATTTTGAAGTCCATCCCTAAGAGCAGCCACTTGGATATTACAAGGAAAATATTCAGAATTTTATACCAATTTTATCTTCAAATAATCATTCTTTCCCCATTGTTTTGAAGAAATCCTTTAACTTGAATGCATCTGGGAAATCTTTGAAATGAAACTTGTAACTAATTTCATAGTGCAAATAATCATTCTTTAAACCATTTATAAAAGTGTGAGCATCAATATTTCTGATTTGTACACTCTTCCTTCTTCCCCAGGATCTACATAGCGGGAGTGTGTTGAACTTGTTAGTGTCCCAGAGGGCATGCAGAGCGGCTCTCCTGCACATGCTTCTTAACCTGTTCGAGGGCTGTGACGGCCCAGGCCGTTGCGAGTGGTGCTGGAGGCTGCCGGGGGTAAGAAAGTACAGCCTTCCCGGTGTCATACTGCTTCTGGT